CAGGTTGGATGGGGTGTGTTGCTGCACAGCTATTTTCAGGTCTCTCCAGAGATGTTCAATCGGGTTCAAGTCCGAGCTCTAGCTGGGCCACTCAAGGACATTCAGAGACTTGTCCCAAAGCCACTCCTGTGTTGTCTTGGCTGGTCGTTGTGCTTAGGGTCGTTGTCCTGTTGGAAGGTGAACCTTCGCCCCCAGTCTGAGGTCCTGAGCGCTCTGGAGCAGGTTTTCATCAAGGATCTCTCTGTACTTTGCTCCATTCATCTTTGCCTCGATCCTGACTAGTCTCCTGCCACTGAAAAACATCCCCACAGCATGATGCTGCCACCACCCTGCTTCACCGTAGGGATGGTGCCAGGTTTCCTCCAGACGTGACGCTTGGCATTCAGACCAAAGAGTTCAATCTTGGTTTCATCAGACCAGAGAATCTTGTTTCTCATGGTCTGAGAGTCTTTAGGTGCCTGTTGGCAAACTCCAAGCGGGCTGTCATGTGCCTTTTACTGAGGAGTCGCTTCCGTCTGGCCACTCTACCATAAAAGCCTGATTGGTGGAGTATTCCAGAGATGGTTGCCTTTCTGGAAGGTTCTCCCATCTCCACAGAGGAACTCTAGAGCTCTGTCAGAGTGACCATCGGGTTCTTGGTCACCTCCATGACCAAGGCCCTTCTCCCCCGATTGCTCAGTTTGGCTGGGTGGCCAGCTCTTAGTGGTTCCAAACTTCTTCCATTTAAGAATGATGGAGGCCACTGTGTTCTTGGGGATCTTCAATGCTGCATACATTTTTTTGTGCCCTTCCCCAGATCTGTGCCTCGACACAATCCTGTCTCGGAGCTCTACGGACAATTCCTTCGACCTCATGGCTTGGTTTTTGCTCTGACATGCTCTGTCAACTGTGGGACCTTATATAGACAGGTGTGTGCCTTTCCAAATCATGTCCAATCAATTGAATTTACCACAGGTGGACTCCAACCAAGTTGTAGAAACATCTCAAGGATAATCAATGGAAACAGGAAATTTCGAGTCTCATAGCAAAGGGTCTGAATGCTTATGTAAATAAGGTATTTCTGTTTTTTATTTTTAATACATTTGCTAACGTTTCTAAAAACATGTTTTCGCTTTGTCATTATGGGGTATTGTGTGTAGATTGCTCAGGATTTTTATTTATTTAATCCATTTTAGAATAAGGCTGTAATGTAACAAAATGTGGAAAAGTCAATGGGTCTGAATACTTTCCAAAGGCAGTATATATACAGTATATTTATTAAATACATTACATAGCCTACTACATTACAAACTTGTCGTTGGTCTATTACTAGGAGTAAGAAGGAACCATGGACGATTTAAATGTGTTTTGTGTTATCTGACAAAAACACACAAGGAAGGGGAGCAGTTATTAAGAATTGAAGCAATCAGTGTGCACATGTTATGTCTAGACCAATATCAGCCACAATCTTACAGGCGCAGTGCATCACCAGATTCAAACATGGATTACGTGTGGCCGAGGGGTTCATGTTGATTGTATAGAGATCGTGACAGCCGGTTAAATGGCGTCCCTAGACAAGGCAAGAACTAGATGTATGTCAGGAGAAGTCCAGTATTATCATAAGGAGAGTTATACTTGGAATACGGGGGAGGAATGGAGGGGAAAAGAGAGGCAGAAGAGGTCTAAGAGAGAGAGGGAGGAAGAGGGTGAGCTTGAGTCAGTTAAAAATGGCGGGAAAAAGGGAGATGGTTTGTTAAAGAAAAATGGTAGAAAGTGTAAGCAGAGTGAGTTGAAGACAGGAGGAGAAATGGAAGTAAGTGTAAGCAGAGTGAGTTGAAGACAGGAGGAGAAATGGAAGTAAGTGTAAGCAGAGTGAGTTGAAGACAGGAGGAGAAATGGAAGTAAGTGTAAGCAGAGTGAGTTGAAGACAGGAGGAGAAATGGAAGTAAGTGTAAGCAGAGTGAGTTGAAGACAGGAGGAGAAATGGAAGTAAGTGTAAGCAGAGTGAGTTGAAGACAGGAGGAGAAATGGAAGTAAGTGTAAGCAGAGTGAGTTGAAGACAGGAGGAGAAATGGAAGTGAATGGAGGCGAAGTATCAGGGGTGGTAGGTGTGGTGAAGTTTTCAGAGCCCAAGGTTTGCACCGAGGGTTAGGATAAAGATGAGTCTGTGACAGTAGGAGTGACGTTTTTGGAAAAAGTGGACCCTTGCCTTTTGGCTGATCCATTTGTGGTTTCAGGGTGGGTGAAAACAGAGTTGGGTGCTGTGGAATCGGTGAGGGTAACCAGAAGTGGTCTTGTGATAATTATTTGTGTTTCTGCTGGTCAGAGGGAGCAGGCGCTCCATGTTAAACGAATGGGGGCAAGAGATGTGAATTGTTTTACTCTCAATAAAAGGGCACCATTGAAAGGAGTGATTACTGGGGTAGCGGTAAATGTGAACGCTGACCAACTGAAGGGGAAGATTCCTGGTGTTTGTGATGCTCGTCGTTTGGTGCGACGCAGACAGGGAGGTGTGAGTGGGGAAACAGAGTCATTGTCTGTTCTTTTGAGTTTTGATGTTGAGTCTTTGCCCGACAAAGTGATGTTAGGATATATAAGTTATCCGGTACGAGCTTTTGTGCCGAATACATTACGTTGTTACAGGTGTCAAGCTTATGGGCATGTGGCAGCAGTGTGTAGGAGGGAGGTTCCTAGGTGTGAGAAGTGTGCAGAAGGGCATGAGACAAAGGAATGTGTAGTATTGGGGAAAGTAGTGGTATGTATTAATTGTAGGGGTGCCCATGGGGCTGGGGATCCGAAATGTCCGGTGCGAGAGAGGCAGGTTGGGGTTTCCAGGGTTAGAGTAGTGCAGAAGTTGTCATATGCTGAGGCAGTGAAGAAAGTAGAGGAAGATGGGTGAAGGGGGAGGGATCCTGAGAGGAATGGTGTGAGTAGAAGATCTGTACCAGTACAGAGGGATAAACCATCAAGTGATATACACTACCATTCAAAAGTTTGGGGTCACTTAGAAATGTCCTTGTTTTCCATTAAAACATACATGAAATGAGTTTGAATATGAAATATAGCAAATGAATAGGAAATGTAGTCATTGACAAGGTTAGAAATAATGATTTTATGATCATTTATGATATTTGTGTCCTTCAAACTTTGCTTTCATCAAAGAATCCTCCTTTTGCAGCAATTACAGCCTTGCAGACCTTTGGCATTCTAGTTGTCAATTTGTCGAGGTAATCTGAAGAGATTTCACCCCATGCTTCCTGGAGGACCTCCCACAAGTTGGATTGGCTTGATGGGCACTTCTTACGTATCATACGGTCAAGCTGCTCCCACAACAGCTCAGTAGGGTTGAGATCCGGTGACTGTGCTGGCCACTCCATTATAGACAGAATACCAGCTGACTGCTTCTTCCCAAAATAGTTCTTGCATAGATTGGAGCTGTGCTTTGGATCATTGTCCTGTTGTAGGAGGAAATTGGCGCCAATCAAGCGCCGTCCACAGGGTATGGCATGGCATTGCAAAATGGAATGATAGCCTTCCTTCTTCAAGATCCCTTTTAACCTGTACAAATATCCCACTTTACCACCACCAAAGCATCACATTGCCTCCACCATGCTTGACAGATGGCATCAAGCACTCCTTCAGCATCTTTTCATTTGGTCTGCGTCTCACAAATGTTCTACTTTGTGATCCGAACACCTCAAACTTGGATTTGTCTGTCCATAACACTTTTTTTCCAATCTTCCTCTGTCCAGTGTCTGTGTTATTTTGCCCATCTTAATCTTTTCTTTTTATTGGCCAATCTGAGATATGGCTTTTTCTTTGCAACTCTGCCTAGAAGGTCAGCACCCCAGAGTCGCGTCTTCACTGTTGACGTTGAGACTGGTGTTTTGCGGGTACTATTTAATGTAGCTGCCAGTTGAGTACTTGTGAGGCGTCTGTTTCTCAAACTAGACACTCTAATGTATTTGTCCTCTTGCTCAGTTGTGCACCGCGGCCTCCCACTCTTCTTTCTATTCTGGTTAGAGCAAGTTTGTGTTGTTCTGTGAAGGGAGTAGTACACAGCGTTGTACGAGATCTTCAGTTTCTTGGCAATTTCTCACATGGAATAGCATTCATTTCTCAGAACAACAATAGACTGACGAGTTTCAGAAGAAAGTCCTTTGTTTCTGGCCATTTTGAGAATGTAATCGAACCCACAATTGCTGCTGCTCCTGATACTCAACTAGTCTCAAGAAGGCCAGTTTTATTGCTTCTTTAATCAGCACAACAGTTTTCAGCTGTGCTAACATAATTTCAAAAGGGTTTTTAATGCTCAATTAGCCTTTTAAAATGATGAACTTGGATTAGCAAACACAACGTACCATTGGAACACAGGACTGATGGTTGCTGATAATGTACGCCTATGTAGATATGCCATTAAAAATCAGCCGTTTCCATCTACAATAGGCATTTACAACATTAACAATGTCTACACTGTATTTCTGATCAATTTGATGTTATTTTAATGGACAAAAAAATTGCTTTTCTTTCGAAAACAAGGACATTTCTAAGTGACCCCAAACTTTTGAACAGTAGTGTATGTTTCAGTAAGATTGGATTTTTGGCATTTATAGCAGTGGTTATCAACTGTACTGCAGGGATGCAATGTAAGTTGCAGAAAATAGAGGTTGTGGTGGCAGCTGCAGAAAGGTATTTGGGTGTGAAAGACTTGACATCAGAAGATTTTCAGGGTGTGTTAAGTGGTGGTGTCCCATCGTTTCAGGCTGTTGACCTGAAGTAGGAGTAAATAGATTTAAATAGTGGATTATGGTAGTTATTATTATTATTATTATTATTATTGTTTTTTTATTGTTGTTTTTTGTGAGTCTAGTGTTAGATGGTAGGGTATTTGTTGTATTTTTTTTATTTTATTTTATTTTTTAAAGCAAAGTATAAGGGAGTTATACTCCAGTATAGTAGGTGGCGGTAAGGCAACATTTATTGGATGCCAACCACCATTAAACCTCATCGAAGAAGAAGAACAATCTTACAGGCAGTGCTGTGAGCAGCCTTGCTTTGGGGTGCTGAATGAAATAAGCGGAAGAGCCGACAGACGGAAGTGGTCTGTCAGGGAAGAACATTTTGCAGAATTAGACACAAAGAAGCTAAAACAAATTTTATATTTCGATTTAAACGTATTCCCCAGTCCATACCAGTGTCCGCTGCAATGATTCTGCTAGAAATCAACAACCGGATTATAGAAGAGACGCTGACGTTGAAATTTGACGGCGCATCCAATGGGTGAGAAATCAATGTTCCAGGCTAACGTTAGCTAGCTACCGAATAGCTAACAGTAGCCTTATCTTAATGTCTGGCCAGTATTATTTGCTCGACAATGAAAGATGGATGGAAAATGTGCGGCTGGTGGAATTGACAGAACAGTGACTATAGATTTGACACGTACAGTCATATTCTGGTTTAACTGAATAAAGTGGCACTCTCCTCAAAGACATCGCTTTGCCGGAATTATGGGGTGTGTCTGTCACTGTCTTTAGCTATGGCTAGCTAGACTGTCTGAAAGCTGTCTAGCCCCCAAAAGGGGTGGAAAGCTAAGCTAACTGTAGTTTACGTGTGCTTGTCGGCATCCCCTCATTTATTGTCCCAATGAACTGCCAATTTTTCATTTATGATGGTGGCTTTCACATAAAACATGAAACATGTCCAGCCATGTTGTTAGCTAGCTAGCTATCTACCTTATCACACTGGCTGCTATGCTAATCACCGCAATAAAAGGGAACCTGCTTTTCTAGTTCATGGTAGCTAGTTAACTAGTTTGCTTTCATCTCTCCTCGCTTTGAATTGAGAAAGAGAACGTGTCGTTATTGGTTAACATTGTATTAGCTAGAGTCGTTAAATTGCAGGAAATTATAGAAATGAATTCAGGATAGTCCGACTAGCTAGCTAACATTCTATTAGCCATCGCCTTGTTGGCCTCTTCCGCATTCCAGCATCCCCAAGCTGGGTCATGTCAGTGCAACTCTCTGGGTCGAGTCACTGCAGCGAATGCATTTATAGACAACTTCTAAACCCCAAGGAGTGGTTTCTTGAAATACATTTGCAAGTTGCACGAAAACCAAAATGGTTTTACAAGAATAAGCCAAAATGGTAACTGCTGCAGAATATTATTATACTGGCAGCAAATTAAGCGTTGTCTATAGTTAAGCCTACTCAACAAAACATGACCGAATTTGTTATATTATCATGCATTCAGTTTCGTACATATTTGACATATAATCCTCAATTTGCAGGACTAAACCAGAGGCAGTGGAGGTGACATTTGCAGGTGAGTTAAGGACTAGTGGTTCATATTTCCACGCAGTACCATGCAGTTATGACAATATTATGCTATTTCCAGGAGTGAGTTGTCCATGTGGATGCTTGTTTGTAACTGATGGCTTTTCTCTGAACTGTAGATTTCGATGGTGTCCTCTACCACATCTCCAACCCCGATGGGGACAAGACCAAGCTGATGGTCAGCATCTCCCTCAAGTTCTACAAGGAGCTGCAGGAGCACGGAGCTGATGAGGTGACATACACACACACCAGCATCTGTACCTCCCTTGGTCTTCATTCAATCTACAGAGATGTCCCGTGTAGCTCAGTTGGTAGAGCATGGCGCTTGCAACGACAGTGTTATGGGTTCGATTCCCACGGGGGACCAGCATATGTGACTGACTTGCTCGATTCGGTCTTATGTAGCAACATTTCAAATTGTGTTTTTTACATTGGATAAAAGTAGAGACTGAGCTAGAAAATGGTATATCATACACTACAGTTGAGGAACAATGGGGAAAGTAATTCTGCTTTGAAAGTTGATAAACTTGTAACCTCACCTTTGAGAAAATGGCCCTTGAATGTTTTGGTACCTACTGGAGAGCTCTTCTTTGTCTACACCCATTCAGCATCATTCGCACCCTTTGAGGTATTAGCCCCACCTATCTCATTAAGGATTCACATGTGAGGCTATGTACTAAACAACCAAAGATTTCAAGACTAAAGGCTGTTTTATACTACGGGTGTGTTCGTAAATTTAATCTGGAGTGCCAGAGTGTGCTCTGGGCTTTCGTAAACTCAGAGCGTTGTCAGATTGGCCGTTTGTAAATTCAGAGTGTTTCGCTCTCGGAGCGTTCAGAGCGCACACTGGACGCTCTGGCTGAAAAGTAGGGTTGAGCCGAGCGTTCTGACCTAACAACAGCAGTCAAGCACCCAAGCTAACTGGCTAACGTTGACTAGCTAGCTAGCTACTTCCAGACACAAATGAGAGAACAGCTCACTCTGACCATTCTACTCACCGTAGCAGAGCTGGTTAGGCTGTTTTTATGTTATCTAGAGAGTTGGTGACTAACTGTGCTGCTGGCAACAATTTAATAACGCTTTTTTGCCAACGTTTACTGACACCGGCCATATTCAACGGGTGTTGAGTGTTCTTAAATTCATCAGTTATTCTGCGCTCTGGCACACTCAGATGAGAGTGCTCTGAAATCGGAGTAGATAGGCCGGAGCGAATTTACCAGCTACGTCTGTCGACAGTTGTCGCAGTGACATCATAAACATTCTATTGAAATAGTTACTTGCATAGTGGAGTCTTTTGTTTAGACATGTAGCTAACTAGCTAAACAATTAACCATAATCACAACTCATAACGTTACTACCCTCCATGAATCTGCAGGTAGCTAACCAACCAGGTTTGATGTTAGCTAGCTAACATTAGGCTATAACTAGCAATGCAAATGGCTCTGAGATACTAATAATATTACTACACAGATCATACACGGGATGCTGACCTTCTAGGCAGAGTTGCAAAGAAAAAGCCAAATCTCAGACTGGCCAATAAAAATAAAAGATTAAGATGGGCAGTCTGAGATATGGCTTTTTCTTTGCAACTCTGCCTAGAAGGTCAGCATCCCGGAGTCGCCTCTTCACTGTTGACGTTGAGACTTGTTTTTTCGGGTACTATTTAATAAAGCTGCCAGTTGAGGACCTGTGAGGCATCTGTTTCTCAAACTAGACACTAATGTGTTTGTCCTCTTGCTCAGTTGTGCACCGGGGCCTCCCACTCCTCTTTCTATTCTGGTTAGAGCCAGTTTGCGCTGTTCTGTGAAGGGAGTAGTACAGTGTTGTACGAGATCTTCAGTTTCTTGGCAATTTCTCGCATGGAATAGCCTTCATTTCTCAGAACAACAAAAGACTGACGAGTTTCAGAAGAAAGTCCTTTGTTTCTGGCCATTTTGAGCCTGTAATCGAACCCACAATTGCTGATGCTCCAGATACTCAACTAGTCTCAAGAAGGCCAGTTTTATTGCTTCTTTAATCAGCACAACAGTTTTTAGCTGTGCTAACATAATTGCAAAAGGGTTTTCTAATGATCAATTAGTATTTTTAAAATGATAATTTGGGATTAGCAAACACAACGTGCCATTGGAACACAGGACTGATGGTTGCTGATAATGGGCTTCTGTACGCCTATGTAGATATTCCATAAAAAATCTGCTGTTTCCAGCTACAATAGCCATTTACAACATTAACAATGTCTACACTGTATTTCTGATCAATTTGATGTTATTTTAATGGACAAAAAAATGCTTTTCTTTCGAAAACAAGGACATTTCTAAGTGACCCCAAACTTTTGAACGGTAGTGTATATCATTTTTACAAGTATGAAAATGTATGCGCTCACTACTGTAAGTTGCTCTGGATAAGAGCATCTGCTAAATGACAAATGTAATGTAAAAAATGAATGCTTGAAAGGTAACCCATGGCACTCATCATAGTTGTAGTTTAAAATGTGTGTCAGAGTAGATGTATTTATTTTATGTGAAAAAGGAGAAATGTCTGTAAAGCAGGATGTCGGGGCTTTTTACATCCTCACCTTGTATGGAAGAAAGCAGCAGTGGTTTCTTATAGAAACAGGAAGTGCTTTCTGACTCACCCTTTAGGGAGGAAGTGCTGACTGAGACAGCAAAACGTTGCCTAATGAACACCATGACTGCCTTCTAGTAGTCTACCAGTTCTTGTGTTCTTACTGTCTGCGAGCACTACTGTCTGCGAGCACTACTGGATCAAAGGACTGGATAGGTTTCAACAGTATTGTTTTTACCTGTCCAGCACTTTAAGATCATGGAGGAAAAGAGCTGTGGAAAGGAATACCTATATCACTTGCTGCACAGTGGTGTGTTTTTTAAAGAACCAGATCATCTCCCAGTCCTGTCACCTGACCATAGAAAATGAATGTCTGCCTTCATTGCCTTCTTCATTGTAATGGTATAGAAAGCTAGTTTAACTACTGCAAAAACAAAATGGCCTTGTGAGAACATGTTCAACTAATCTAGTGTTGTCCTTTTCAGTCACTCAATGTACATTTGGTACACCTTGTCACCTTTCTTCACTAACCCACAACAAAACACATTTCGCGTAGACATGTTCCACTTTACATGTTCCGTAATAGATTTACACAATACATAAATACATGCGTCACAATGGTGCACTCTTGCAGTTTTACTGTAAAGGGAACTGAATTGCAGTGCAGCTTCTTATAATAAAAGTTATGTCCTATCCTCTGTTTTGACATGTGTAAGCTGGATTTGCATATTATCTCCATGTTTGTTCAGGACATGATTCCACATTGACAGGTAACCTTTTTTTTTAGGGGAATGCCTATGTTCTCCCGTTACCGTTATCTACACTGAGACATCCACCCCTAGCAGTCTACTCCAGCTCTCTGATGTTGCATAGCTGGTGTCTGACTCTGTTACTGTCACTAATAACACACCAAATCACTCCCTCCTTTCAGCTGCTGAAGCGGGTCTATGGGAACTTCCTGGTTTCACCCGAGGCATGTAAGTACTACGGTCCACTCCCTATGTAAGTTAAGTAGTATGTAACTACAGTCCACTCTCCCTATGTAAGTTAAGTACTATGTAACTACAGTCCACTCTCCCTATGTAAGTTAAGTAGTATGTAACTACGGTCCACTCTCCCTATGTAAGTTAAGTAGTATGTAACTACAGTCCACTCTCCCTATGTAAGTTAAGTAGTATGTAACTACAGTCCACTCTCCCTATGTAAGTTAAGTAGTATGTAACTACAGTCCACTCTCCCTATGTAAGTTAAGTAGTATGAAACTACAGTCCACTCTCCCTATGTAAGTTAAGTACTATGTAACTACGGTCCACTCTCCCTATGTAAGTTAAGTAGTATGTAACTACAGTCCACTCTCCCTATGTAAGTTAAGTAGAATGTAACTACGGTCCACTCTCCCTATGTAAGTTACCCCGGTCACAATGTTAATGACTCCAACTACTCAGAGAATGATCGACAGCGCGTCATACAGCGTGTCATACAGCGTGTCATACAGCGTGTCATACAGCACGTCATATAGGCTATATGAAGTGCTATCACTTACGGAGGTCCAACGCAGTGCCTGTTGTGACTATAGCCCTATTTACTCGCCTTGCACAATTTTCACATTTTGTTGCGTTATAGGTACAACATAAAGTGTAGACACATTCAATTAAAATAACACGATGCACCCAGATCCTCCTCCATGATTGGAACTATAGATGGTGTTTACTGGGTGATACACTGTGTTTGGTTGGCACCAGGTCTAACGCTTTGCATTTAGGCCAACACGTCGTTCGTTTTTTTGCTTTGTTGCAAAGTCAATGCAGAATTGTATTAATATTTATTGTCATTTGCTATAGGCCGGTTTTGACCCCCATTCCCCTCAGAGATTGACACACGTTTGACACATGTCATAGTTTGTAAACCTCTTACAAATAATTATTCTAGCGATAATAATTATATCGAACAATAACTGATCTTGTCTGTGATTGGCCGTCTCCTAGGCTACAACGTGTCCCTGCTCTTTGACCTGGATGCGGTCCCGGCCAACAAGGAGGAGGTGATCCACCAGGCGGGCATGCTGAAGAGGAACTGCTTCGCCTCGGTGTTCGAGAAGTACTTCAAGTTCCAGGAGGAGGGCAAGGAGGGAGAGAAGAGGGCTGTGGTCCACTACAGAGACGATGAGTCCATGTAGGTGGCCGCTGCACTGCCTGGAAGAAAATGTATAGAAGTAACCATAGACAAAAACAAGGATGCTATTTGTTGTTAACCACTAAAAGTCTTAGCCTTTGGGTGGTTGGGGGGAGCGGTTCTACTAAAACATATGGCATTTTTTAAAGATGGTCATACCATATATCATTTAGCTATTTGATTTTGAATTATTAGGAACCCTGTAGGTATCAAAACAATTACTTGTTAAAATATTGAATTTGGCCTTTACTGCTATAGCCCATAGAAACACATTGAATAACACATTCATAAATGGCAAAATAGTCAAAAAATAAATAATAAGGAATAAGGTTTTGAAGTGTCCTATATATAAGAAAGCGCAGGATATATATATGACTCATTGCTGGCCACTTCAGAACTCTCCAGCGCTTTGTTGCCATCCATTTCTGGGTGCTTTTTGAAGTATGTTTGGGGTCATTGTCCTGCTGGAAGACCCATGATCTCGGACGCAAACCCAGCTTTCTGACACTGGGCCCTACATTGCGACCCAAAATCCTTTGGTAATCCTCAGATTTCATGATGCCTTGCACACAGTCAAGGCACCCAGTGCCAGAGGCAGCAAAACAACCCCAAAACATCTTTGAACCTCCACCATATTTGACTGTAGGTACTGTGTTCTTTTCTTTGAAGGCTTCATTACATTTTCGGTAAACAGTAGAACGATGTGCTTTACCAAAAAGCTCTATCTTGGTCTCATCTGTCCATAAGACGTTCTCCCAGAAGGAATTTGGCTTACTCATGTACATTTTGGCAAACTGTAGTCTTGCTTTTTTATGTCTCTGTGTCAGCAGTGGGGTCCTCCTGGGTCTCCTGCCATAGCGTTTCATTTCATTCAAATTTCGACGTATAGTTCGCGCTGACACTGATGCACCCTGAGCCTGCAGGACAGCTTGAATTTCTTTGGAACTTGTTTGGGGCTGCTTATCCACCATCCGGACTATCCTGCGTTGCAACCTTTCATCAATTTTTCTCTTCCGTCCACGTCCAGGGAGATTAGCTACAGTGCCATGGGTTGCAAACTTCTTGATCATGTTGCGCACTGTGGACAAAGGAACATCTAGATCTCTGGAGATGGACTTGTAACCTTGAGATTGTTGATATTTTTCCACAATTTTGGTTCTCAAGTCCTCAGACAGTTCTCTTTTCCTCTTTCTGTTCTCCATGCTTAGTGTGGCACACACAGAAACACAATGCAAAGACTGAGTCAACTTCTCTCCTTTTTATCTGCTTTCAGGTGTGATTTTTAGATTGCCCACACCTGTTACTTGCCCCAGGTGAGTTTAAAGGAGCATCACATGCTTGGAACAAACTTATTTATCCACAATTTTGAAAGGGTGCCAATAACTTTGTCCGGCCCATTTTTTTAGTTTTGTGTGAAATTATGTCAAATTTGCTTTTTTTCCTGTTTTTTTTTGTGTTATTCCAATACACACAAAGGAAATAAACATGTGCATAGCAAAACATGTGTAATTTCAATACTTTTCTGTGAGAAATACTTCATTTTCTGGAAAAATTTCAGGGGTGCCAACAATTTTGGCCATGACTGTATAATGACACACACATTTGTTTTTGTTTTTTGGCAGGCACAAAACTACTTCCATATTTTTTTGTTGTTGCCATTACCGGGTTACATTCAGACGATTCCTGTGTCACTTGTGTGGGTCGTAGAACAAAACGCAGAACACCATCGTGTTCGTGAGACTCTCCCCTTTCCATAGTGGGGAAATTCGTTTTCTAGGCCAAACCGTTCAGACGCTACAGACGTTTTTGTGAGAAGAACGATTTTCGGGATGTCTCCTGGTCTGACAAACACCACTGTAGCTCTGCCACTTTCCAGCGCAGATGCGGAAGGCCGACATTGTCTTAATTAGCGTTAATCGACTCTAGAGGGTTTAAAAAACCGTCCGGGATTTGCATAGAGAATACATTTGGTTACAATGAAACAGCACAAAGGCTATATATATATATATATATATATATATATATATATATACAGTGAGGGGAAAAAAGTATTTGATCCCCTGCTGATTTTCTACGTTTGCCCACTGACAAATAAATTATCAGTCTATAATTTTAATGGTAGGTTTATTTGAACAGTGAGAGACAGAATAACAACAAAAAAATCCAGATAAACGCATGTCAAAAATGTTATAAATTGATTTGCATTTTAATGGGGGAAATAAGTATTTGACCCCCTCTCAATCAGAAAGATTTCTGGCTCCCAGGTGTCTTTTTATACAGGTAAGAAACTGAGATTAGTAGCACACTCTTAAAGGGAGTGCTCCTAATCTCAGCTTGTTACCTGTATAAAAGACACCTGTCCACAGAAGCAATCAATCAATCAGATTCCAAACTCTCCACCATGGCGAAGACCAAAGAGCTCTCCAAGGATGTCAGGGACAAGATTGTAGACCTACACAAGGCTGGAATGGGCTACAAGACCATCGCCAAGCAGCTTGGTGAGAAGGTGACAACAGTTGGTGTGATTATTCGCAAATGGAAGAACTGTCAATCTCCCTCGGCCTGGGGCTCCATGCAAGATCTCACCTCGTGGAGTTGCAATGATCATGAGAATGGTGAAGAATTAGCCCAGAACTACACGGGAGGATCTTGTCAATGATCTCAAGGCAGCTGGGACCATAGTCACCAAGAAAATAATTGGTAACACACTACGCCGTGAAGGACTGAAATCCTGCAGCGCCCGCAAGGTCCTCCTGCTCAAGAAAGCACATATACAGGCCCGTCTGAAGTTTGCCAATGAACATCTGAATGATTCAGAGGAGAACTGGGTGAAAGTGTTGTGGTCAGATGAGACCAAAATCAAGGTCTTTGGCATCAACTCAACTCGCCGTGTTTGGAGGAGGAGGAATGCTGCCTATGACCCCAAGAACACCATCCCCATCGTCAAACATGGAGGTGGAAACATTATGCTTTGGGGGGGGGGGGTTTCTGCTAAGGGGACAGGACAACTTCACTGCATCAAAGGGGCGATGGACGGGGCCATGTACCGTCAAATCTTGGGTGAGAACCTCCTTCCCTCAGCCAGGGCATAGAAAATGGGTCGTGGATGGGTATTCCAGCATGACAATGACCCAAAACACACGGCCAAGGCAACAAAGGAGTGGCTCAAGAAGAAGCACATTAAGGTCCTGGAGTGGCCTAGCCAGTCTCCAGACCTTAATACCATAGAAAATCTGTGGAGGGAGCTGAAGGTTCGAGTTGCCAAACGTCAGCCTCAAAACCTTAATGACTTGGAGAAGATCTGCAAAGACGAGTGGGACAAAATCCCTCCTGAGATGTGTGCAAACCTGGTGGCCAACTACAACAAACATCTGACCTCTGTGATTGCCAACAAGGGTTTTGCCACCAAGTACTAAGTCATGTTTTGCAGAGGGGTCAAATACTTATTTCCCTCATTAAAATGCAAATCAATTTATAACATTTTTGACGTGTTTTTCTGGATTTGTTTTGTTGTTATTCTGCCTCTCACTGTTCAAATAAACCTACCATTAAAATTATAGACTGATCATGTCTTTGTCAGTGGGCAAACGTACAAAATCAGCAGGGGATCAAATACTTTTTTCCCTCACTGTATATATATAACTTTTTATTTATTTATATATATATATATATATATATATATATATATATATATATATATATATATATATATATATATATACACAAGAAAAACATATTTTTTTATGCCAGTATTCCATGTCAACGAGGTGACTACCGGTTGTTGACATGTTTCTGTGTTTCTCCTCAGGTATCTGGAGGCCAAGAAGGACAGAGTGACGGTGGTGTTCAGCACAGTGTTCAAAGACGACGATGACGTCATCCTTGGGAAAGTGTTCATGCAGGTAAAACAATATTTCTCTCTCAGGTTTTCATGACCCTTAACAGGAACCGCCTCACACATTATTAAAACGAGCTTGGCAACACAATGTACGGTACAAAATGATGTAATTACAATACAGTATGTAGTTGTCCATATGGTTGTGAAAAGGGGAAAGGGTACCAAAGTATCTGTTTGCACTGTTGCCCGAAGGTAGTTCACCACAGTGATGAAGAAACCCCATCCCCTCTCTGTGTCTGTCTAAATGCTTTATGAAATATCTTATTTGCTCTCTACACTATTAGGTAATTGTCATGTGTGGATGGATGTGTGTGTGGATGGATGTGCGTGGATGTGTGTGTTTTGTGTCTCGCTCTCTGTGTGTAGGAGTTTAAGGAGGGTCGGCGAGCCAGTCACACAGCCCCCCAGGTTCTGTTCAGCCACCGGGAGCCGCCCCTGGAGCTGAAGGACACTGACGCTGCCGTCGGAGACAACATCGGATACATCACCTTCGGTCTGTACCAACCAAATTCCAGTTACTTTCCCCAAATTCCCAGGTTTTCCAGAAATCCAGGTTGGAGGATTCTAGATTTCCTGCTTATGCCCTTCTAATTCCTGGAATCTTCCAAACCGGATTTCGGTCCTACCTGGGAATTACAAGGGTGTACTGTACAAGATAGTACTTAGAGCTGAATTGTGTGACCGTAAGAAACAACAGTTTACTTATACTAGACATGCAGATAACCGGCTCTGTCTAGTGACATGATAGAAAGTAGTCAGTGGATGAACATATTTGCTTGAATATCAGGTCAGTCATAAGCCTAATTCCAATGTCTTTGTGTTAATGTGTGATCTTTCTCCTGTCCTGTCAGTCCTGTTCCCACGTCACACCAATGCCAACGCCAGAGACAACACCATCAACCTCATCCACACCTTCAGGGACTACCTGCACTACCACATAAAGTGCTCCAAGGTGACTTCCCTAACTAGTATACTAACTAGGACCATATTAGTCCCAACTTCTGTACTGCCCTAACTAGGGCCCTACCATACCTGCACTACCATGTAAAGGGACAGATTCTGGACGCAGATTAAGCCTAGTCCTGGACTAAAAAGAATGGTCAGTGGAGAGTCTCCCTTGAATATAAATGTAATCTGTATCCAGTAAAACGCCTACTCCCCTAACTAGGGTCCTACTTAACCTGCACTAACTACTCCCCTAACTAGGGCCCTACTTTACCTGCACTAACTACTCCCCTAACTAGGGCCCTACTTTACCTGCACTAACTACTCCCCTAACTAGGGCCCTACTATACCGGCACTAACTACTCCCCTAACTAGGGCCCTACTTTACCTGCACTAACTACTCCCCTAAATAGGGCCCTACTTTACCCTGCATACTATACTTCCCCTAAATAGGGCCCTACTTTACCTGCACTAACTACTCCCCTAACTAGGGCCTTACTTTACCTGCAGTAACTACTCCCCTAACTAGGGCCCTACTTATACCGCACTACACTACTCACTCCCCTAACTAGGGCCCTACTATACCTGCACTAAACTACTCCCCTAACTAGGGCCCTACTTTACCGGCACTAACTACTCCCCTAACTAGGGCCCTACTTTACCTGCACTAACTACTCCCCTAACTAGGGCCCTACTTTACCTGCAGTAACTACTCCCCTAACTAGGGCCCTACTATACCGCACTAACTACTCCCCTAACTAGGGCCCTATATTACACCTGACTAACTATCTCCCCTAACTAGGGCCCTACTATACCGTGCACTAACTACTCCCCTAACTAGGGCCCTACTATACCGGCACTAACTACTCCCCTAACTAGGGCCCTACTTACCTGCACTAACTACTCCCCTAACTAGGGCCCTACTATACCGGCACTAACTACTCCCCTAACTAGGGCCCTATTTTACCTGCACTAATTACTACCTACTAGGGCCCTATTATAACCTGCACTAACTACTCCCCTAACTAGGGCCCTATTTTACCTGCACTAACTACTCCCCTAACTAGGGCCCTACTATACCGGCACTAACTACTCCCCTAACTAGGGCCCTACTATACCGGCACTAGCGTGGTAAAACCCTGCAGTCTCAGTGATCATGAAGGTTTCTGATGGGGTTTCCATCGTAAAAGGTTACGTGCGTGTGGTCAGATTCCTGCCTGGTATGCGTTGAGGTCACTCATTTAGGTTATATAAGGTTACAAAAGGTTGACTGCCCCAGAATCAAGGACTTCAGCAAAGATGTTTGTTTTTATGCACCGTTTGTGAAGTGAGCCAGTGATCCTGTATTCTAAAGGATCTGTGTGTCTGTCACATCGTATTGACTACAGGCCGCACCACACAAGATGATGACAACAGGATGTTTTTGTGCGGAATCTGCGGATGGGTGTCTGCCTAGGCACAGTTTCAGCCATGTGACTGATGCATTGCTGACTATATTCTATTCTCTTGTTTGGGGAACTGTTATGTGACGCTGGGTGTAGGGTGTCATTGTCACTTTAATAATGGAACACTAGTCACTTTAGTAATGGAACACTAGTCACTTTAATAATGTTTACATAGTGTTTTACTCATTTCATATGTATATACTGTATTCTACTGTATTCTAGTCAATGCCACTCTGACATTGCTCGTCCTAATATTTAAATATTTCTTAATTCCATTCTTTTACTTTTAGATTTGTGTGTATTGTTGGGAATTGTTAGATACTACTGCACTGTTGGAGCTAGGAACACAAGCATTTCGCTACACCCGCAATAACATCTGCTATGTGACCAATACAATGTGATTTGGTTCGGTCAGTTAGTGTGCGTGTCAGTGAGCTGTTGGTTCAATAGGTGTGTATTAAGGGTTGTGTGTCTCTGTCCCTCCCCTCCAGGCCTACATCCACACACGTATGAGGGCTAAGACTTCTGACTTCCTCAAGGTGTTGAACAGGGCACGACCCGACGCTGAGAAGAAGGAGATGAAGACCATGTCGTAAGTTACTGCTGCTGCTCACTCCAGCGTTGGAGTGCTGATTTAAGATCAGTTTTGCCTTTTAGATTACAATGGATAATATTACATGTGTATGGGGGGGGGGGGGGGGTGATCCGATCCTAGATCAACACACCTACTCTCAGATGCTTTTAGAATATGGTCCCATACCTGGACTGTGCCTGATTGAGCTTTCCTGGAACTAGCGGAATAGTCCCACCTGACAGGCACTCCAGCCAAGGCTCCATCAAAACGCTCAAAGTATTTTAAAAAAAAAAAACATACTATTTGGACCCAGATCTGGCTTATTCCACTGTCAGCCATTGGGTTCACTGGGATGTGAGTTACCTAACGTTACCTCTAGCACCAGTCCACACACAGCACTGCCTGTAGGACACTTCATATGAGAAAGTCACCCAGATGGAACTGTGAGTGTGGCCTGTTCTCATAAGATGTAACTGTGAGTGCGGCCTGTTCTTATAAGATGTAACTGTGAGTGTGGCCTGTTCTCATAAGATGTAACTGTGAGTGCGGCCTGTTCTCATAACAGATGTAACTGTGAGTGCGGCCTGTTCTCATAACAGCTGTAACTGTGAGTGTGGCCTGTTCTCATAACAGCTGTAACTGTGAGTGCGGCCTGTTCTCATAACAGCTGTAACTGTGAGTGCGGCCTGTTCTCATATCTCCCGTTTCTTTTCGTTTATCAAAGAGATCAGTTATCATTTAATGATGCACACTGACTTCTTTCACCATGTCCCCAGATCTTATCGTCCCTGGTAATGCTTAATTTCTTTTCTGCGTGAATGTTTTCACGTCCCTCGCCCACCTCGACATTCCTTTCTTAGTTAAATACCAACGCCGAATACACACACTCACCAGCGCCTGTGTGGTGAACAGCACAGTCAGATGGAGAGAGAGAGCCTGGGTAGAAGTGTGCACTGTCACGACATCTCTGGTACCAAGTTGCAGCCGTTGCCCAAACCACAGCTGATAAATGAATGGATTGTAGAGATTCCTTAGAAGCTGATCAAAGAATAGATTCTACATATTCCTTAGAACCCTCCTGTAATGTTGTTGTGTCTGTGGGCTACTGTGTTTGTAAGGCCGGTCTTGTCTGAACAGTTGTATGTTTGTGTTTGTTCCTTGTGTGTGCTACTATAACTGCTTTGACACTAGCAACGCTGTTTGAAGTAGGCTTGGGTGGAATTTGAACAAGGTTCCCCCACCCCTCTCTCTCTCACACACACACACAGTTTGGTCCCTATCGCTGTGTGGGATCTGTGGATCCGACCAGTGCTCCCCCTCTCTGTCTGAAACAGAAGAGCCCTTGTCTAAATATGAATATTTAACTGTGACTCCGGGGGAACTCTACGCCACTGTTCCTCAGGGAGCTCAGCTCTGGGTGGAAGCAAGCAGGGGTGTAGTCTTGTTTCACAATCTGGGATTTGGTCATCGGTAGTTGACATAGTCGGTTCAACATTTAGTTGGAAGGTGTGGTATCTGTTCTTATGTGTTTTAATCAAATCAACTATATGCACTGAGCTTGTCTGATGCTTTAATCAAACTGTTTGATTAAATAATTAAGACACACAAATGACTAGAGGGAGTCCGACCGCAATTGATTTGATTGTACCGGGCCGGGCTCAGACTTGCTGCGCTTTGTTCAAAAGAAAAAAAACAGCAAGTGACTGTGACCCGTTGTCTCTCTCTCCTCCCTGCTGCAGCGACCACCACACATCAACAGTGTGTATAGCGCTGTCCGTGTCGCTGAAGCTGCAACATAATTACAGACATTTCTGAATGAAAAGTTATGTTACCGAAATCCCTAATTTGTTTAGGAAAAACATTCTCTATTCCCTAAACCCTTGCTCTTTCTACGTGACATGTATACTTCGCATGCACGTGACCAATAGGGCCTGACCTATAGCATAGCATAGCATAATCACATCAATAAATTGGTTATAACAAACTCTGAACACCATAATACATGGATGCAGAGGACATGACAAATACATTTGAAATGGGGGAATGTTTACTGGTTGTGCAGGAGGTAAAGGGGAAGTCAGATGTGTGGAATAAATTTGACTTTCATATTTTGTTGTTACAGCCTGAATTTTTAAAATTGATTAAATTGCGAAAGAGAAAATTGTCACTGGCCTCCACACAATACCCCATAATGTCGAAGTGGAATTATGTTTTACATTTTATTAAACAAATTAATAAGAAATGTAAAGCTGAAATGTCTTGAGTCAATAAGTATTCAACCCCTTTGTTATGGCCAGCCTAAATAAGTTCAGGAGTAAAAATGTGCTTAACAACTCACATAATAAGTTGCTTGCGCAATAATAGTATTTTAACATGATTTCGGAATGACTACCTCATATCTGTACACCACACATAGATAATACATTTTATCTGCCTTCAGCTATATCTTTCAACTGCAACATTTCAACAAGTTTGTCACCTAGCCAGCGCCAGCGAGGAGCTTACCTTGGATCTCACGTGGCAAGAGGGTTTTCCTCTAAAACACCTAGAAGTAGTAATGCCAAGCCCTCTGTAGCCAATAAAGTGTCTGTGTGGTCCCTCTGGGACAAGATTGGCTAACTGTTTTTTTATGTCTGTTTTCAGGGGCAAGACGTTCTCCCGCTGAGGCTGGTCCACACGCGCACTCTGACCCCTAGACACGCCCAATCGCGCCACACCAAGAATCGACGCCACATTGGACAGGATCACAGGCCCCACCCCGCCCCTAAAGCCCCGCCCAGCGCGTGTCCATCCTGTGTCTTTTTAAAATAAAGTTGGCTCCTCTTTGAATAAAGTTGTCTCTTCTTAGGGAAATCCAGGCTTAAAAGAATAAAAAGGGCATTCCTTGCTTTGCATAGTTGAAAGAGAATTATTAGTCCTATATAAATATATATATAAAAAAATGAAATGTTTTGATACGATATCTTTTACTCCATTTGGTACTCTCTTGCCTTGCTGACTCGCTCTCTCGCTCCCTGGTGGTGTCCATAACATCAGAACCCCTCCTCTCTCCCTCCCTCCCTGGTGGTGTCCATAACTTCAGAATTCCTCCTCTCTCCCTCCCTCCCTGGTGGTGTCCATAACATCAGAACCCCTCATCTCTCCCTCCCTCCCTGGTGGTGTCCATAACATCAGAACCCCTCCTCTCTCCCTCCCTCCCTGGTGGTGTCCATAACATCAGAACCCCTCCTCTCTCCCTCCCTGGTGGTGTCCATAACATCAGAACCCCTCCTCTCTCCCTCCCTCCCTGGTGGTGTCCATAACTTCAGAACCCCTCCTCTCCTCTCTCTCCCGCCCTCCTTGGTGGTGTCCATAACTTCAGAACCCCTCCTCTCCTTCTCTCTCCTTCCCTCCCTGGTGATGTCCATAACTTCAGAACCCCTCCTCTCTCTCTCCCTCCCTCCCCGGTGGTGTCCATAACTTCAGAACCCCTCCTCTCTCTCTTCCTCCATCCCTGGTGGTGTCCATAACTTCAGAACTCCTCCTCCCTCCCTGGTGGTGTCCATAACTTCAGAACTCCTCCTCCTCTCCTCTGTCTTTCTCCTTCCTCCTCTATATGCTTCCATATTGTCTGTACCATTGTCATTGGAAAAATAAACCAATCTTATAAAAAGCATTATTTTCTGTGTTGTGGTTTCACAGACCTTAATCTCAGATTAACGTTACTTTATTTGGCTGATTGTACACAAGGTTCAACGGAAATGTGATTTCCACATCCCAACTTCTCCAAAAGACAAACGTACACATACAGGTTGGAGAAAGCGGCTGCCATACTACGACGCAGTTGTGGGGGTTAAGTGCCTTGTTCAAGGTCACAATGGCAGGCGACGGCATCTAGGATTTGATACCAGCAACCCTCCCGTTGCCAGATCACTTCCCGCACGATTTTTCCCGTCAGACCCGGAATTCGACCTGGCAACCCTCCGGTTGCTCGCTCCTCTAACCTCTAGGCCAGGGCTGCCCAACCCTCTTCCTGGAGATCTACCGTCCTGTGGGTTTTCAGTCCAACCCTAATTTAACACACCTGATTCTACTTATTAGATGCTCAACAATACCTTAACTAGCTGAATCAGATATGCTAAATTAGGGTTGGACTGAAAACCTACAGGACAGTAGATCTCCAGGAAGAGGGTTGAGCAGTCCTGCACTAGGCTACCTGCCAATACCTGCCATGTCCGATTCACAATTCCTTAGAACTCCAGACAGAGAATAGATGTTGGAGTGGAGTAATACCGAGGAGAGTATTTGGAGAGGCCTGCCTTACAGTAGGTACAGTAGAAATATGTCAACACATCAGTAGATCTGTTTGCTTGTGCTCTTGCCAACTGTCATGCCAAACGTCTTACATAGAATCTAATGTCATCAACCATAGTTGTCATTCGTGGGAAACGACATGTTTACTGTTGCATTGTCTTTGGTTTCATTTTAGCTTCTCTGTGAAAACAGCTGTTTGATCTAGATTCAATTCCTCAGAACTCCAGTCCTCACTAACTCAATCAGTGTCAATGTTTCTGTGAGTGAACAATAAACACACTGCCACTATTTCCAGTCGAACAGGTTTAGGACCAACACTACGCTTACTACCAGGGTAATATTGCACAACTCAATGCTAATAAAAACAATGTTCCATGCCTTTATTTTGGTATATATATTTTTTTGTCATTTAGCAGACGCTCTTATCCAGAGCAACTAACAGGAGCAATTAGGCTTAAGTGCCTTGCTCAAGGGTACATTGATAGATTTTTCACCAAGTCGGCTCAGGGATTAGAACCAGCAACCTTTCGGTTACTGGCACAACGCTCTTAACCACTAAGCTACCTGCCGCCCCATGTTTTGAAAAGAGAACTGGAAGGCATTGATGATACAGAGTCAAGAACAATGTGTTGAACATATTTATTTTATAGATAAACATCTCTGAGAAAGAATGCATCGGAATAACAACACCAAAACTACTTAACACCGTACACAACACCATTAGTTACGATGAATAGAAAACATGATAGCTAGGTCCAGCCGGCCTGACAGCTAGGTCCTGCCAGACAGAAAGCTAGGTCCGGCCAGATAGGTAGGTCCGGCAGGCCAGCCAGATATCTAGGTCTGGCCGGCCAGATAGCTACAGTGCCTTCGGAAAGTATTCAGACCCCTTGACTTTTTCCACATTTTGTTACATTACAGGCTTATTCTAAAATAGATTAAATAACTAAAAATCCTCAGCAATCTACAGACAATACCCCATAATGACAAAGCAAAAACAGTTTTTTGAAAAACTAATTTTTAAGTACCTTATTTACATAATATTCAGACCCTTTGCTATGAGACTTGAAATTGAGCTCAGGTGCATTGGAGCCCACCTGTGGTAAATTCACTTGATTGGATATGATTTGGAAAGGCACACACATCTCTGCAGCACTCCACCAATCAGGCCTTTATGGTAGAGTGGCCAGACGGCAGCCACTCTTCAGCAAAAGGCATATGACGGCCCGCTTGGAGTTAGCCAAAAAGGCACCTAAAGACTCTCAGACCATGAGAAACAAGATTCTCTGGTCTGATGAAACCAAGATTGCCCTGAATGCCAAGCGTCACGTCTGGAGGAAACCTGGCACCATCCCTACGGTGAAGCATGGTGGTGGCCGCATCATGCTGTGGGGATGTTTTTCAATAGCAGGGACTGGGAGACTAGTCAGCATCGAGGCAAAGATGAATGGAGCAAAGTACAGAGAGATCCTTGATGAAAACCTGCTCCAGAGCGCTCAGGAACTCAGACTGGGGTGAAAGTTCAACCTTCCAACAGGACAACGACCCTAAGCACACAGCCAAGAAAATGCAGGAGGGGCTTCGGGACAAGTCTCAAAATGTCTTTTTGAGTGGCCCAGCCAGAGCTGGGACTTGAACCTGATCGAACATCTCTGGAGAGATCTGACAATAGCTGTGCAGCAACGCTCCCCATCCAACCTGACAGAGCTTGAGAGCATCTGCAGAGAAGAACTGGAGAAACTCCCCAAATATAAGTGTGCCAAGCTTGTAGCGTCATACCCAAGAAGACTTGATGCTGTAATCACTGCCAATGGTGCTTTAGCAAAGTACTGAGTAAAGGGTCTGAATACTTATGTAAATTCGATATTTCTGGGGAAAAGGTAAATGGGTCTGAAAACTTTCTGAAGGCACTGTATGTCCGGCTGGCAAGACAGCTAGGTCCGGCCGGAGGAGGAGGAGGAAGAAGGTTTATCCTCCTCAGTTGGTGGCTGCTTCGGTTGTTGGTGTCTCAGCCTTAGCTACATTTATAGGGGCCTCCTCTGTCTTCGTAGGGAGGCTCTCTTGAGTTGTCGGGTCTTCCTTCTTTGTGTGGGCCTCTTGGGTTGGAGGGAGACTTTTCTAAGTCGCCGGGGCTTCTGTCTTTTTGGGGACCTCCTTTCCATCAACCTCATCCTTTTTCAAGCCCTTCTTTTCAAGCCCGACTGATGTGGAGTCAGGAAAGAGGAAGAAGATCTCAGTCTAAAGGTTCTGTAGGATATTTTTCAGTTGAGGAATTGAAGTAGCCTTGTGGAACCGTCCTGATTGCTACGCTCACCACTCTGTTTCTGTTTAAAACAGAATGTGAGCTATTGCGCGATCAGGACGGTTCCACCAGACTATAATTGAAGAAGACATATAATTTGAATTGGAAATGTATAGTATATTGGCCATGTTCAAATCAAATTGCACATCCTGCTTGATTCATATATTTGCATGAATTGAATGGGAATAGACACCACCTCTGCAACACATCAACATAACATTGGGATCAAATGAATCAATGTCTTATAATCACAATCACAATACCATCAGATCCATCTACCACGTTTTTTTTTTTTTTTTTTTTTTTTTTCTTGGGGTAGATCAGCTTTAACATGTTAATAACATTGTATTTTTTGACAAATTAATTACAAATGAAAAGCTGAAATGTCTTGAGTCAATAAGTATTCAACCCCTTTGTTATGGCAAGCCTAAATAAGTTCTGGAGTAAAAATGAGCTTAACAAGTCACATAATAAATTGCATGGACTCACTCTGTGTGCAATAATAGTCTTTAACATGATTTTTGAACGACTACCTTATCTCTGTACCCCACACATACAATTATATTTAAGGTCCCTCAGTCGAGCAGTGAATTTCAAACACAGATTCAACCACAAAGACCAGGGAGGTTTTCCGATGCCTTGCAAAGAAGGGCACCTATTGGTAGATGGCTAAAAATAGACAAAGCAGACATTGAATATACCTTTGTGCATGCTGAAGTTATTAATTACGCTTTGGATGGTGTATCAATACAATCAGTCACTACAAAGATACAGACGTCCTTCCTAACTCAGTTGCCAGAGAGGAAGGAAACCGGTCAGAGATTTCACCATGAGATCAATGGTGACTTTAAAACAGTTACAGAGTTTAATGGCTGTGATAGGAGAAAACTGAGGATGGATCAACAACATTGTAGTTACTCCACAATACTAACCTAATTGACAGAGTGAAAAGAAGGAAGCCTGTACAGAATAACAATATTCCAAAACATGCATCCTGTTTGCAACAAGGCACTAAAGGAATACTGCAAAAAATGTGGCAAAGCAATCAACTTTTTGTCCTGAATACAAAGAAGTGTTATGTTTGGGGCAAGTCCAATACAACACATTACTGAGTACCACTCTCCATATTTTCAAGCATAATGGTGGCTGCATCATGTCATGGGTATGCTTTATTCGTTAAGGACTGGGGAGTTTTTCAGGATGAAAAATAAACGGAATGGCAAAATCCTAGCGGAAAACCTGGTTCAGTCTGCTTTCCACCACACACTGGGAGATGGATTCACCTTTCAGCAGGACAATAACCTAAAACACAAGGCCAAATCTACACTGGAGTTCTTTCCAAGAAGACGTGAATGTTCCTGAGTGACCGAGTTACAGTTTTGACTTAAATCTACTTGAAAATCTATGGCAAGATCTGAAAATGATTGTCTCGCAATGATTAACAACCAGTTTGACATAGTTTGAAGAATTTTGAACATAATCATTGACAAATGTTGCACAATCCAGGTGTGGAAAGCTCTTAGAGACTTACCCAGAAAGACTCACAACTGTAATAGCTGCCAAAGGTGATTCTAACATGTATTGACTCAGGGGTGTGAATACTTATGTAAATCTATATTTCATTTTCAATAAATTAGCAAAAATGTCTATTTACATGTTTTCACTTTGGCATTATGGGGTATTGTGTGTAGATGGGTGAGAAAATTCAGGCTGTAACACAACAAAATGTGGAATAAGTCGAGGGGTATCAAATCAAAACAAATGTTATTGGCCGCATACACATATTTAGAAGATGTTATTGCGGGTGTAGCAAAATGCTGGTTTTCCTAGCTCCAGCAGTGCAGTAATATCTAACAATTTACAACAATACACACAGATCTAAAAGTATCCATACCATAGCAGCTGCTATGGATTTGCCTTTTACTTGAGAGATCTGCCCTCTATGCCAGGTCTCCCTTGAAAAAAACCATGTTATTGTTAACCTGTAAAATAAG